CATGAATCTTGGCCTTTTTCTTAACATAGGCATGGAATGAAGACAGGCCTAACTTCAAACTGATGTCCAAACCTATTTTTGTTTGTTTTGTTCTGTGAAAGCCCCAACCATGTTGTTTCTGTCTATTTAAGTACGTCACATAACAGCCTAAATCTAGTACCTTGCAAATAATTCCAGGTGTTACAGAGTGACTGAAGTCATCTGTAGTTAGAGTTCTTTGAAGCTGTCCATTCTTGAGATGAAATTGCTCTTTCATTGCAAGCTGTGTGTCAAAGGATAAGCTCCACTGCTTGGAACAGCTTTTCTCTAGAGTATTTTTCTTGGATTTGTATTTGTAAGTATTTTTTGACATCTCCATAGGTGCAATTTTCTCTGTTTGAAATCTTAGTTCTCATATTATCTCCCCTGTCGAACTCAATGCACATAATAAATCTTGTGCTGCATAGAAACAGATTTCTCTGAGCCCTGTCTCTGTTGGGGTTGTTTGACACAATTCTGTAAGTGCTATTTGTTGTTTTGTCTCTAGTACCTCTTCCTCTAAACTTTCTTTACATCTCTGCCCTTCAGTAATTCCCTTAGACTTACTTTATCATTGCCTTATCTACAGTCCCTGCATGTGTAGCAGTTTATTCTCATCATAGAGATGTATTTGAGTGTAGTTAAAAGTTTTATTGTGCCTCACTGCAAGCTGGAATAATTAATCTTCCAACCTTTCTTTCCACTGGATGCTCTGAGAAGGTAGACAGATATGCTTTAAAACCATGCTGCAGTGTTAAATTGAGCAGAGATTTAGAAAGTTTGATGGTCCTTTGCTAAAGATATTGAATGTTTGTTAGGGAGATTACTGAGATTACCTCAGTGACCACTCTGAACTCACAAGATCTTACTAGAACAGTAAGGCAGCATCACCTGGTGTTGGGAATTAAAGGCAATGTGGATGGTGAAATTTGTGCTGAATGTAGTTTAGGTTAATAGTTGTTTAAGTATTACAGATCTTAAACAGGATTATGGGGGTGTTCATGCTTGTGGCAGATTTTTCTGTGTAAATTATAGTACTCCAGTTTTACTAACCGAGTTGACTACAAAATGCCATGTAACCTTGAGATTCAACTTTATAGTGCCATTAAATATAGAGTCTTAAACTTTGGACCTAGTCCGGAGAGACCTTTCCTTTATCCTTTTCTCACTGGAGCACAAGCTGGTCAAATAATACCAAACCTGTTTCTGAGTTCTAAACTGGCTGTTGAACTGAGTTAAACTGCAGTGAAGTAAATGCCTGTTGCACCTGCAGAAAAGGCTGCAGCTGTCAGAAGCTTGTTTATCACTTCAGTACTTCTTGGGTCCAGGTGCTCAGCCAGTGACTTCCCCTCACACAGTCGTTTGTTTTAGATCTTCAGCAGAAAAGATGTTACTGCTTTATGCAGATTATAATGTGCTTAACCTTTGCATGTGTGAAGATGGCAGGAACCCAGATGTGATTTCAGAGGTTTATTTTGAAGGAAGCTTAGATGGAGTACATGTTTTGTCAGCATTGAAAGATCGTTTGAAAGACTGCATCTCTTATGTTAGCTTTATCACGTAAATCTTTACTGTTTTGTGCTTCATCTCAGTTACCAAAGTTGATTTTGTTGGAATGCTGTCATCTGTAAAGGTAACTGTCCATGTGGGAGGTCACATTTCCCTTCCAAACACTCTTGGTTTTGTCCTCCTTTGCACAATTGCTGTCTGCAAATGTTGTGTGCTGGACTTGCCCAGCAACTTACCTGCTGCCATTCAAAGCTGCTGAATTTCTGTCCCAGTCAGGGAAGGTTAAAAGTGAAGGCCTTCCTCAACACTCGTTTTTCTACTGGCATTTCTGTGCTCAAATAAAATAGTTATTTTAGTTTATACTGACCGAAGTATGGTCTATAGTATTTGTGTACTAATTGGCACCTTGTGCCTGTTTGCTTCCTGTACCGGCACATGGTTTTACATTAAGGCTTCATAGCCCATCCTCTGTGAGTAAACTTTGTAATTTGGAGTTCTAGTGACTTCTATGAGTCCCCTTTGACAAGTTAATCTTTCAGTAGAATTTTCTTGTAGAAGTAATGAGTCGTTCGTTGAACATCAGGTAACGTTGAGGTAGTACAAAGAAAATACTGAGCTTTGCCAGCAAGCAAAGGTGGTGATCTAGTGTTTAAAGGAAAAACAATCATACTGATGTAGCTAAAATAGTTCACTTTTTCCCTTTCACTGATGTGGTGTAACTTTGTCTCATGAATTTCATTAGTTGATGTAATTGTTGCAAACGCCTTTTCTGAATACCTACTGCAATGTGTACCCCTTGGTTTGTCTTGACCTCTAACACAGCATTTCCTGAATCCAGCTGTTCAGTGTGCTGCTCAAGGCTGACTGCATAGAAACAAAGTAGTTATCTGGCTTTTCAAACAGTCTGTGAACTAGTAAGAGCTGCATAGCTCAACTGAACTAATTTTTATTGAAGTACCTTTAATAGGTCTGGCAAGAGGGATGTCCCTGGTGACACTTGAAGTAATGTCTGAATTGAATGCTGAAAGCACACACAGTATTGATGTGTACTGCCTTTGTCTTTGTATTTCATTCCATTATTTTAATGGGCTTTAATTTGTGGTCTGCTCATACTTGAGTTATTTGTGGACTGAGAGCTCACATATAGAGCAGATTATATGTAGTGCAGGTCCCTTCAGAGACTTCACCATTCAAAAGCTCATGGTATGTGCAAAACATACATCTATTATTAAGTTGATAGGAACCGTAGTTTAGCAAAGTAAAAGCAACAAGAAGAAATTTTTCAAACTACCACTCAGTTTTGCTATTTGTAGTGTGACACCAAGACCTCTTTATTTAAAATAAAGTATTTGAAAGCTGTGTGGTACTTGGGTTTTATTGCCTGGATTCTGGTGGATCTGGTAACTAGATGGGTGTTGTAGAACTTGGGATCTTTGTGTGCCACCTTTCGAGGTGGTATCTCTTGCCACATGAATTAGGGTTTCTTCAGTGATAAATTGCAGATGGTGAGCCATGATAGAGAACAAGTTTGGGCCATGAGATGGAACTTAGTTGTCAGCTACACACCATGTTTCATATCTGTTCAATGCATTTCCATGCTCTTTCCACACAGATAATGTAGCAGCAAGCTTTAACTCCTTAATGCATGCCTGCGTAGAATTTTACTGTTGTGTAAACTCTTCCTGTAATTTGCTTTCTTTATATTTTAGGGTTTTATACGAAAATATGTAAACTGTGTACTTGTGAACTGCTGAAATAAGAGTACACACATTCATATGCTCAGTTTAGTTGCACAGTGATCTTCTGGAGTGTTCCAGTTTTAAGACAAAGACACTTTCCTTAAACTGCTAAATTGGGCATAATACTTTGTCATGAGAAGGAAATGTTACTCATAGGATGAAAAATAAGTACAGTGAGGCTTGGAGAAATGTGCTTCATCTTGCTGTAAGCATTGAGATTTATGGATATTTACAGAATACTGCTCAGAACTTGAGTTCTAAATTTAGTACTATCTGCAGTTCACCAGCTGTACTATTTAGTGAAAAATATTTGGACTACCATAGGTTCCTCATTTTTAATTTCCATAGTTGTATGCAAGCTAATGAAGGGAGATGTCCCTGTGTGCAGATTATATAGCTCATTAGATCCCTGAAATGCCATGAAGTAGCATCTTAGCATGAGTGTTTTTCACCTGGCCTGAGGCCTCCAGCAAGAACATTTCACACTTGGGATCATAAAAACAAACCTACTAGTTGGGCTTTTTATTTTAAACAAGCCAACCAGATGTCTGAAACTCCTCAGAATGAACCGGAAGGCAAACAGGAGGAGGTTTATTAGCTGTGTGTGTTTTGGGAGCAGGATGTATGGAAGAGATTTGTATAATCCCTCAGCTCCCAGCCCATAGGCTTTGGTAATAGAACAGTACTTCAGTGCTGGTATTATTCCATTCTATCACAGGGAAGCAGGATGTGTGTGGGGTAATCATTGTCACTGCCATACAAGTTAAAGGTCAGTACTATTTTCTTTTTCAGCTCTGGATATTTTTAAAGTATGCATATGTGCCTGTTTTAGTTCTCAGTTTTAAGGGCAAACACTAAGAGAAAGTAGGTGATAGTATTCATTATTATTTTTTCCCTCTGGCTTTTCTAACAAGTGGAGTGAAGCAAATATCTTGGTAGTAGGGCCAGTTTATTTTTTTTTTCATTCTTCAAGCCTTAGAGTAAAAAAAAACCCAAACCTCTTGGGTCTTGTACAGTCTGGATCACTTGCTTTAGTGAAAATCTGGTAGATTTCTCCAAACACTAATATTATCAGTATAAGTTACTATTTTGAGTCTGAATTTTGTATCCTACTGGAGGCTAAGTCTACAAAGTAAATACTTCCATTGGTTTTAAATAGCATTTTTATAAAAGCAGTATATGGAGATGAAGTAATTTGTGTAGGACCTGAGCTTTTAGTAATATACACTGAAAGTTACAGTAAAAAAGTGGTGATTGCCCACTAGATTCTGTTCTGAATTGCTTAAATAGGCAATACCTCTTGGTTTGAGTAGTGTAGTCTTGAAATAATGACTGTTAGCTCATTTAGTTCATAATTACAGCAAAAGCCAAGGGCTTAGTGTTCATGTGTTCAAGCCTCAGTAGATCAGACTTCTGTTCCTCAACATTATATTGTAGCCTTGGGCTTTCTGAAGTAGGGCTGAGTAGGAGGAGTCCAAATCTCACATTGCAGGGAGATGACTGGTCATGGGCCAGTGCTGATGGCTCAGTCAAATGGAATTCCAAACAGAGTAGATGTAAATATTTTTCAGCAAAATTAATAAATTCCTTGCCTGTCATTGTGGTGCATTATTTTAGGAAAGAGCATAAGTAACATAAGCATCTTGGAACAGCATCTTTGTACAGCCTCAGACACAAGGCACAGCTCATCTGTTGTCCTGCCTGGCAAAGATACTTTAAAAGATGCAGGATGACTTGTCTGTGATATTGGGCCTTCATCAGGTCTGAAAGAAAGGTTTAAACCTGAGAGACTGACATCCATCTCTGATATGAGTTGGCAATAAAAAAATGCTTTAACCTCTGGCTGAGTTGGGTTCTTAGCCCTAGTTTTCTGTAGTGATATATTCCCTGCTTTAATTAGGTATGACCTGGAAAAGGTCTCTTGAGCTTACTTCACCACTTGTGTTGCTTTGAGAAGTGTACTTCATAAACTTTTAAACAAAGGTTTAATATTGCTTATCTCCACCCTTCTTTTTCCTTTCTGGAAGGAGACTCATCTTGTTTTAAAACCAAACCTAAACAACTGACAGTAACTTGAGAAGTAAAAGGGGGTATATTTATTTATATTTATTACAGACAGCAGTTCATGCAAAATATTTTGGTTCTAATTCAAAATGTATTAAATTATTTTGGGTTTTTGGTTTGTATTTGTTCCTCAGCCAAGCTGGGTGAATTGTACAGCTAAGGGTGGGAAGCCATACCATCCAAGGTAATACCAAAGTATTGCCTTTAACCTCTTTCTAGCATATTCCTTGTCTTTAAGTCAAGTGGAATCCAAAGGCTGTGTGTGTGTTGGTTGAGGCTTCCCATCCTTCTCTTAGGAGCTCTTGGATCTGAAGTGTGGGAGATGGAGTAGAAGTGAGTGTGCAGGATACAGCTTTATTTCAGTAGTAGTTTATATTTGGTCTCAGCTGCCACGTTGACCAGTTGGTCTTAGTGGTGATGCTTTAGGGTCAAAACAGTGAAATTCTGGGCTCAGTAGTGATTTTCTACATTTGAGGTAAGTGAACCTAATATTTATTCTCATCTATCTCTGGAGGCATTAACAAGGCAATCCTAATTTTTAACCTTAGAGTGGTGATATGTAATTCTGCCTTGCACAGTAGGTGATGTACGTTCTTCAGCAGATGGTTTTGAGCTCTTGATATTCCTTGTGCTTCCAGAGCCTATGGAATATCTCAAATTCGTCTCCAGTGGCCATAAGTTGATGTAAAGGATGTCTTCTAGCCTATTTTTCTTGTTCCTTTTTGGAGTTTTGTGCTGGAGTTGTCAACCTGAATCCAAGCTTGAACTTCTCTTAATATTGAAGTTTTCTTCTTATAAAAACTGGTTTGTGCAAACACTGCATGGAGAGAGTGGAGAGATTCTGTAACTCGTGAAATCTATCTTCAGTCCTTTTGGAGAAACTCAAAATTGCAAATATTGAAATGGAGTTCTTTGATTTGTTTGTTCAGAGTTCTAGAATGTGGTGTTAAGGCTTTTTTGTCACATCTGAGTGCTTCAGGGAGAACAACTACAATTTAAACAGCATTTTTAGATGGTTGTGGAACAGTTTCTACAGAATACAAACTAGGATTGTAAACTCTTTGTTTTCCCTTTTGGTCAGAGACTTATTCTAATGCTCTATTAAAAACTTCTTTGTAAAGAACCTCAGAAAATAAAGGGGTGCTAGTTAATGGCATTGAGAGGACTCCTGAAGTACAATATGTTGGAAATTGAGGTGTCCCCTTTTAGAACAAATCCCCCAAAATATTGATAACCTTATAGCTGTAGGAAACTTTCTAATTAAAACTGATTTTTTTTTTTCAACTTGGTGTGGAATTTTGGAAGGTTTGCAGAGTAGCCACACTGCAGATTAGTGCTGGAAAGGATAGAGTCCAAATAATTCTCTTTTAAGTGCCCGCTATCAACAACTTTTCTGGGCTAAAAGCTATTAATAATAGACTTATGTTGTAAGGAATGCTTAGCCTCTCTGTGAACTTCTTAGCACTGTAGTAAATAATACCTATATTTAGAATTAGAATGTTCTCTTCCCTTTTGGAAGTTGATATTTTGCATTTCAGGAATTTTGTGGCTTTTTCTCAGATGGCATGAAGTATTACCTTAGCAGTTTCTGAAAAGCTGGTGTTCCAGCTTAGTGTTGCTTCAAGCATAAGTGGGATGGGACAGACAAAGACTTGATCAGTTTTGTGTGATGTTTCAGTTTTGAAGTGCTTCTTGGATGCTGCAGAAAGTGCCAGGAGGCAAAAATTCACATCACCTTTCATCTGGAGTCTAGTAGTGAAATCATCTAGATCTGCAGTTAGTACTGCTGGAGTGATTAGCTCCTTTGGCTTGCTGAAGCAGAGATAATAATTTAAAGGACCTGCTTATCCGAACTGGAATTTTGACTCCAGCTAATCCTTTTCTTCTGCTGGGAGCAAGTTAAGTGCATGTATGGGATTGTTGGTAATCAAGGTTCCAAGTAGCCTGTGGAGCAAAGAGTAGGGAATAATATGAAGTAACAGAGGAAACAATCCTCTGTGTTCTCACAGGTCATTTTAATGCCATAGGCATAAAAATAATGGAATAGTCATCACCAAGAAACACCTACATTTGTGTTATGGGGAATTCATATAAAAATCTTGTGATCTCCTCTTTATCCAAGATAGAACTTCTAGAAACAGAAAAGAAATTGTTAGAAGTGTTTCAAACAAATGTAAATTTTCCCATTGAGATGAGCTGTTGCTGGAACATTTTGTCCTGCGGGATGCAGAGGAGGAGAAGTGGGTTGGGAAATGAGTCTGGCTGCCTTACTTTCTTAGAGCCAAGGAGAGATTTTTGTGTTGGCTTTGTGTTCTTCATCAGGACTCTTCATCTCTCTGAAAGTAGCTTGTCAAATTGAATGACATCCTTTAATTGACTGGGAGGTTGGATAATCTGTATTTTTAGTAGTCTTCCCCAAAAAAGACACTAGTGATGTCACTGAGAAGATACAGAATTCGTGACATGAGCACTTCTGTTCTAATTCCACTGTTAATTTTGGCAGATATTTTACAAGTCATTACTACTTGTAGCTAATCTTTTAAAGAAATAAGCCCTCTCTCCTTTAGTAGTACTATAGAGATATAATAATGAATCTTTACTTTTCTCAGCCTTCGGAATGAATAGAAAAGAACTCTAAATCAGAGACACTGGTGATACCGATTCCATCACAGCTCATTCTCCAGTTTTGAGGAATGTTAGCTTTGGCTTGCATTTGGAGTTTGATTTTTATATTCCATTTATTCCTTTTGATTAGCTTACCTTTCAACAACAACAAAAAAAAATAGCTTCTCTTCCTCCCCACCTCTCACCTCTACCCCTCAGCTCAAGGAGATCGTAGGAAGATTAAGTCTCTCCCAGGACAGAGACTGAGTAACATCTTTTGTTGTGTGTGTTTATCTTGGAGGTCTCAGCTTGCTCGCTATCCTGACTAATCAGGCTCCACAAAGGATGGTGTGCTAAGGGAAGGATGGCCATAATCTTGTAGGACTTCATCCAACTTGGAGCTCCAAGGCCTATTGTTATTGGCTCAAGGCTTGGAAGATATTCCTGTTTGAACTGGCAGTGCCTGGCTCTGCTGCTGCCTGTGGAGACTTGGTGACAGCAGAGGTGTGTTACCTGTGGGCTCTGCTTCCAGGCTCTGTGCAGACTGGGGCACGACTGGATTGTGCCAGGATCTCTGCCATGAGGCAGCTGGAAATGTGCAAATTCAGCAGCATCCTCATTGCCCTAACGAGGATGGTCAAATGGTTCATGTTACTGAAAATGAATTTGTATGAAGTGCTGAGCAGTTGGAGAGGGATTCAGCTTGATAAGGAGAGACTGAAAAATAAAGTTGGCTGTCTTTAACCAGCTCTAGAAAAACAGCATGGTGAAAAAAGTACATAAAGTAAACACCTTACTCTATTCTCTCTGTGGATCAATTAAATACATACAATAGCAGAGAGTCTTAAACTAAACCCTCAAAAATAGAAAAGCTAAGTGAGGCACTTCTCTCTAGGAGGTACTGAGGGGCAAAAAGCTTATAAATGCAGAATAAGAAAGATTTTAAATGAACACAGCTAAGTGAGGTCATTCTGAAGAATCTCTTGTCTCCTGGCAGCCAAATTATTAATTAGCAAAGATGAGGGAAACAATTCCTTGTAGAGTATACATAGCTCAGCCAGAGTGAACTGGGAGTTTGGTCACTGAGTTAAGGTGCTGAGGCTGCAGGGAGGATTTCAGATCCCTTTGAGCTGCTGGTAAGTTTGACCAGTCAAAGGAGTACGAATTGGGAAAGGAAGATGGGAGCAGAACATGTTCAAACCATGCTTCAGGAGGAGATGCCTAATTTCTAATTAAAGAAGAATCTGTATGGCTCAACATAGGAAATGCTGATGTCAACTGGCATTCTTGTGTGAATTTCCTTTTTTTCTGATGCTTTAGTTGGACAGGTACTTGGACAAGCAGTGTCAGCATCCCACAGTGCACCCACACAAGCATTTGTGTCCAGTTCGTGGTGATCCAGCTGGAAAACATTTCCCAGAAACAAAAGGAAGTGTTTTGGTTTTATCCAGCTATAAAAATTCCTTGATCTAGTTCTCTGTGATGAGCAGAAACACTTGTGCTGGCACACGGCTGTGGGCCACAAATAGCCAGAGAAGAGAATGTGTTGGCAGTTGTGATGGCAGCTGAGGTACATCAAACTGCAGCCTAGAATGGCTGTCAGTGGTAGGAGTGTGATGGTGACACTTTGGCCACTTAAACATTCATTGTTTCATCCTTAACAAGGACTGCCCAGTAAGAACGGATTTCTAGTGTAAAACAGTTAATAACACTGTACTGATCAAGCACATTTAAGAAAGGTGAGAAGGGAATTCACTTGTGAACTGTACTTCTAATCTGAACTACAACCCCTGCTATCAGGGTTGTGCTTCATATTGAGCAATGGAATTTACTTGTGATGGGGAGCAGGAGAAAGTGGGAGCAGATAGATGAAGGCTTTTCAGCGTCTTTTTGTCCCTGCCCCATAATTAGAAACAAAATCTTAGTCAGTGGAGCATGTCTCCATATGAAAAATTGTGTGAGCTGTTATAATGAAACTTTTTGGGGGGGTTTTCCACATTGCCTGTGTTTCAGAACTGATTGGGTTCCATGTTGTCGGAAAGGGCCTGAATGGTTGCAGTGCCTGAATATTCCTGTCAGGAGCTGGTAGGATTTGTGAATGTGGATAACTACAATTCAGCATGATTCTGAAAGTGCTATGCTTCTGTGATTTCGTTTGCTTTCCCTTTATCTTTTGATTCAGTTGCTTCATTAACTAAAGTCTAATGTCATTCTGTCTAGTCTCTTGTTTTAGCTTGTATTAAGCTGACTTGAAATTTCAGTGGAACATTTGAAGTACTAAGCAGTATATTTCTGTAATTAACTGATTACAGAACAGTTTTATCAGGTTTTGATTTTTTTCCTTGTGGGAGATAACCCATGAATTTTTCTATGGCCCTTCTAAACAGAAGTAACTAAACATGTGCTGAACGTTCCAGCTGGTTCTTAGCCTCTCTAGTGGAAGTGTTCATTCTGAACATGGGTCTGAAAGTCTTTGCACCAGTTATGAAGCATTTCAGGATGTTTTCAATCTGTAAAGAAACAACTTCTGACCTCCAGTCAGCCTTTCTTGTGACTTCTATTCCGGATTTACAGATTTACTTTGAACTTCACCAGACTTAAAAGGGACACAGCAATGTGTGATTGTGCTGCTCTAGATACTGCTGTGTTCACATGCTTGCCCTCAAACTTGTTTTCAGTATTTCATGAACCACACTTTGTTTTAACTGCTCACATTGAACAATATAAGTGCCACCTTTACCATTGACTGTATGAACTTGAGGGTTTTTTAATATTTGATCTGATGTAATTTCAGAAAAGGGTGTAAATATTTGAAGTTGTGTGTCTTCCTGAAAGATAGGACACATGAAGTAAAAGCAGACCAGTTGAATTTCCAGCTCTCTAGATAGCACTGTTTGTGGTAGAAGCACATTTCTAAGCATTCTATCTTACAGGAAAAAAGTAGATATAAGAACAAGGCCAAAAGTTGGGCAGAAGTTGCATTTATGGGACAGCTCTCAGGCTCAGGGAGACTGGTGTAGCAGACTGCTGTGAAGGTAAAATAGTGCATGGCTAGCATATGAAAGTCATATTTGAGGATGTACTTAAAGGCAGCAAGTTTAAAAGATAGTCCAACATCACCATGACTACTATTAATATCTTAGTTTTAAGTGGGTTTATCTTGACTCATAGCCTCAAGTTACTTTTTTTCTTGCTACTACTGGTTATTTAAACAGCTAATTAGTAGTGTAGAAGAGGCAATGGAACATTGTTTATGGAAACATAATTTGAAAATAATTTTCTGCTTTTTTTTAAACTGTAGATGTTGAAACTAGAAAATGCAAGTCAACTTATGGTCTTAGTAGCATCAGTGTTCCTCCCCAGAGCCTCATGTTTAAATTTGGAAATATCTCTATGATGATCTCTTCCCACATTATATTCCATAAGTTGTCCCTGAATGTGCTTGGCCAACTTAAATCCTCAGGAATAGTTAATGTAGGTCACTAGAGAGAAAGAAAATATGTAGAGGATGTTGAGGATAAAAAGAGGTAGCTGATGAACCTAGTGCTTTTGATGTAGATGACTGCTCAAAGAATAAAGATATCAAAGCTGTTGTCTGTGATACTTTTATGTAAATGGGAATCTGTCCTGGTTACCAGATCTGGTGTTGGCTGACAGGTAACAGTTATGTAACCTTTAAAGAAAAAGCTGAAGAAAACACAGGGCAAGACATTAAAAGTAGCTGAGGGTTTGGGAAGTGGGTATAGTGTTTGCTGCCACTGGTTCACTTTTCTTTTATAAGAAGGGATTAGTGATGAAAAAATGTGGTGGAATGCTTTAACATGCCAAATAGTGTTAAACATGCAGAGCAGTATGGTGGGTAAGTGCCTGTGTCATATGCTGTGCTAATATACCTGGCTTAGGCTTCAGTAGTTTAAATGAGGGAAAGTTTTCCCTCTGCCTTGGATTAAACTCCTAGGTAGAAGCAGTTCAGTAGCAGGAAACAGCCATATAGTATTCTGATCCTCACCATTAATGAGTCTTATCTCCTTTCTGAAGTTTTAATCAGTGAAACCTCAAATAGGAGTATTCTTTCGTGAGTAGAGATGGGTAATTGAAATGCCAGGCCTTCAGCATTGGCCACCGAGTGATATATTTGCATGAAGGAATAATCCAAATAAGAGTTGTGTTATTACAATACTAATTATGATATATACAATAATTTTTCTGACTTTTTCCTTTTTTTCTAATCCAATTTTACAGGAAACCAGACATGATACACTGACAGCATTTGGAAATAAACTTTGGCAGTAAGATGGAAGCATAAATCTCAAGATTCTAGACCAAAACAGAAATGGCTCATGAGTATTGAAAGAAGAGACTGAAGAGCCTCCAACACGTGTGTGAGCAGTGGAAAAGGAACAACTACCATGGTAACACTAATAACAGAAAAGCTGCAGAACCAGAGCTTGGATGATCTGACCTGTAAAACATACAATATTAATCTGGTAAGGATCTACCAAAACAACATTAAATAAATGTGAAATGCCAAGTAACTCAAAACTGCATAACAAATTCAAGAATGCAGATCAGCCAGAATTTAGCTGTTTAAGTTAGGACTGGTTTGCAAGGTTGTGTGAGAGTTGTAAGGGAAAGAAAAAGTGGATCTCCAGTGTTTAGTCCCTTTTTGAAGTGATGTGTTTTTATTTTAATGTAAAAAATCACTTTTTAACTTGGCTGCTTCATTTTACATAGCAAAAGCCAGTTCTCTTCATGAAATAGTGTTCTAATGTCTGAAAAGGATTATCCAAGGGTCTCAGGATTCCTTTTTTGCTAGAAAATGCATATGTGATTGTATGGGTTGAAGTTTTCTTCACTCCATGTAGATTGAGTGATTGATATCTTTATATTTGACAAGAGTTTTACTTAGAAAAATCCGTGACTACCATGTAGGTAACTATCAGCACTGGGCACAAGGAGAACAGGTCATCAAGTAAATACAGTTAAAGTAAAAGTCGGGTTACTGCCAGACTGTTGATGCTAGTAGAGTGGATCCTTGCTTTTTCAGTGTCTTAAATACCTGGTGCTCTGCAAAATTTTGTAGTTTATGGTATTATTCTTGCTGGTTTCATCTCTGGATACATTGTGTGGTTCAGGCATTAAGGAATCTATTCTCTTCAGATCTCTTGTAAATAAAATATCTACTCCAAAGTGAATGATGCAGAACAGTCCTTTGTCAGTTTTAGGTGCCTACTTGAGAACCCCAAAACCACTTTCTGTATGGAATGCACTAATTTTCATTTACTGACTTTACAGTGGCACCCTTCTGTTAGTCAAACTTTAATATACCAGTGGGACACAAAAAAAACTTCATTTAACTAAACGTCAAAGTGTTGTTCAACTCTTGTTGTTACTTTTAAAAATCAAATATTGGCCCTGAAGTGTCAGTTAATTTAACATTCTGTGTTGTGACTTTCTTAAACAACTGTACTGCTTCCTTATTTCATAAGTCCCAAGCAGGTGAAGCATACCGTGAATGTGGAGGAGGTTGTGCACAAGCACCTGCAATTTTCATGTATGCTGTTCCTTGTCCAGTAAGGATATCTAACAGTAGACATTAATCAAGCAGTTTTATTTTCAAAACTGTAGCAGGTCCATTTGATTTTACTTTTATTTCACCTTCCCCTTAAATATTGTGCTGTTCTTGAAAGGCAGATTTAAGGTGTTGAAATGATGTTAATTCTCAGGACAAGTGCATACTTAACTTGCATTTATTTTGTCTGGTTTGATGAAGTACTTGGGACATCCAGTTTGTAGGAGAATCTGCTGTATCTGTGAACTGGCAAAGTCATCATTTGAACTAAACTCTGGGCCTAATTTTGAGCCAATGACCAGTAGCAGTGTTGAGTTACAAACATGTAGCAGTATCTTGTAATTTCTAGTCTTTTTATCAATAGTCACTGTAGGTGTTGGACCACAGACCTCTAATAGCAGAGAAGGACATATTACTGCTTTTACACTGTGTGGAGTCTGTACAGGAGTGTGTTGGCTTGCTGTAATGTGTTGTAGGTTGGTTGTTTTTTATTCCTGTCCTTATCTGGACTTACAATAAAGCATGAAAAAGAACAAGTGGAGCGGAAAATGGTGTGTGATGTCTCATCAGTTGTTTCATCCTCACCCTTCTCCTGTTCCTCTCCTCCTTTTATCTGTCAAGTAATTGGTTTTGTAAGTGCTTTAGTTCTTATAGAAAATAGGTTCTGAGGACAGGAACAGGTTCTGTTTGTACACAATGGCACCCTGAAAAAGTGTGGAAATTGCGTAGTGAGGTGTGGAAATAAAGAAGCAAGTGTGAATAAAAGTGTGCAAGTAGGTTGCTCCCTCCTAAAAAGGATTCATGCAAGCAAATTACTTCCTGGCTAAAATATGAACCTAAAATGATAAGTGTGCTTTTTGCACTGGTGAAGACCATTGCTGAATTTCACTAAGAGAAAAAGGCTGCTGGTGATGGTCTGGTATCACTGCTAGCACATTTAAGCTTTTTGGCAGGAAGTTCAGGTTAATGCTGTAGTTTTTTCTAATAGCAGCAGCAGTTTGGAGCAATTCTGAAGTGATCTTGCCTGCACCTTTTGTTACTTGTGCTGGCACAAAGTTCTGTGACACCATGTGTTGAAACCTCATTGGGAGCTGATTAAGGATTAAGACCAACTTTTCTTGCCTGGGTTAATATAGTTAAACCTTATCAGTTTTGTGATACCTTTTGCAGTGCATCTGCACAAGTGTCTTGGCACAAGTAAATAAAATAGCTGGGGGAAAGCTATTCTGTAATACAGCTCATGAATGAGGGTTATAAAAGAAAAAAGAATAGCTCTTTCAAAGCTCTTTACTGTGCAGCCGAACTGGGCAGAAAGACAACGTGTATAGGACATAGTACACTTTTTCATTTGTGTAAGCTGTGTGGTGACCAAGTACCTCTCTTTTATGTTGTAAAATACTGGCTGCAGCTTTTTACTGCTCTGTTAAATGACATGCTAATTTTCCAAGCTGGTGTAATTCAGCCAGTGCATGCTCAGTTGTGTTGTACAGCCTTGTCCTGCACCTGCCTTCAGGAAAATGACTGAGTGACCTGCTGTAGAAGCAGGAAGGTTGTGCCAAGCTTTTTTCCTCAATTTGGGTATTGTAGCTCACAAGGTAGTGTCTCTGGTTGCTCAACTCTACCTTGAAAAAGGGATGAGAAGTTCTGTGAGCACATTGTGGCTTTCATGGGTTGACAGCAGCACTAAATCAAATAGTTGGTCTCTATTCCCTTGAGCTCTCAGAACTTTCATAGAGCTCAAAAGTCTTGTATTTTTCAGTGTATTCTGACTAAACTTGTACCTTTTCCTATTCCAGTATAGAATCTCATGTTGGTTTGTGAAGTAACAGCATGTGGGCTGTAAGACTTCTCTAGGTGTGGTATTAAGAAGGAAACAAGAGCACTGCCCGTCAAGGATTTGTGAAAGGAACAAGTTTTACTGTAAAACCCCTTTCAGGCATGTGGGGCTCAATTATTTTTAATTTTTGAGGCTTATTTATATTGAAAGATGTAGAATTAGACTGACTTCCTCAGAGGAAAAGCCACTGGTCAGACTACTTGACTTAATCACTTCTTTGCATCCTGAGAAAAGGTCAAAGTGTTCCTCCTCACTATTTCATATCCAGTCATATTTGGAGGTTATTTGGTAGAGAAAGGGAGGTCTGGCATGGCCAATTCAAACTGAGTCACATCTGTATGGTGGTGGCTAAATTAGTATTTGAATAATAAACAATGGCTTCCCTGTGGTTTGGAAAGGATGCTGATAAATTGGAGGGACTCAAATATACTTGGAAACTGGAAAAAATGCCTTGAAATTAAAGCCATTAATTTTAAAAGTATGAAGATGAAGTTGTCATTCTGAGAATAATGAGGAGGGATAGCACAGGCTGTGAAGTCCTTAATGCAGTACATTAGAGTGTAGAAGAATAGCCAGAATTATTTTTGTTACAGTTGGCTTCTGCTAGCAAAGAACACTTAAAATTAGTGATGTAAATTATAATTCAGCCTCACTTGCATGACTCTTCCACTTACTCAGTTCAGACTAGGTGTCTTTTTGAGTGACTATTTTAACAAAAGAACAGCTGTTAAGATTCAGAAAACCAACTGAAACTTGCAGCACTGTCCTAAATGTTGTACCACATGTTTCCTTTCCTTTTGAACATAGTCTCTCCAGCTGCACAAAAGAGAATCTATTTGTGAACAAGTGTTTCAAAGTAGATCCACTTCTTGGCATGAAGCAAAAAATTCTAACCTCAGGTGAAACTTGTAATTTTCATTGTTTTGTGTCTATATTAAAATATCCCATTATTTCCCTAATAAATTCTCCAGAGGCATGAGATCTTGGTGGATGTTTTAACATCTATTCAAAAAGCAGTAGTTGTAAGGTGGATGTTTCCTCTTCAGTAAAGTGACCTTGTTGCATAATTTGGCCTTATTCGAAGGAAGATTTCCTTCACACAGAGGGTAGCAGACTTCCCTGTCAAGGTTCTTAGCAATTGCATGATCTTTTCAAGCATAATCACAACGTATTAATTGAGGAAGCTTCAGGTAGATTATAGCACAAGGGGAATGAGTGGGGGAGGTGGAGTGTGGCCAGCCCAGGAGAGCTGATAAACTGGTTCAGTGCCCTGTTACAGTAATATCTAGTGGGATTTGTGCCATGTGCTGTATAGATAAAATCCTCCCTCCTATAAAAATTTACAGCCTGATGGGTCTTCTCAAGTTTACACTTCCAGATGTGGTGAAAATACACCAGCAGACACTGTTTCCAAGTATCTTCATTTCAGTTACAGAAAACCAAGCATATATTGTAAAGGAGATTTGTTACTTACTGTCCTCTTAGTCACTCAACCCTTATTTCAGTGCCTTGAGCTTTTGCTGGAAATAGTGCAGCTTACTTTCTCTTTCAGCATGTGATGTCACATGTCATGCTCTTATGGTTTTTGGTCTGAATCTCCAAAGAATTAGCAAAGAGGTTTTTTTGTGACTTAGCAGGATTCTGTATAAACGATCCCAAGTTGTAGAGGAAATATCTGCTTTGTCATGGCACTGGCTTCTCCAGAAGCTGGTCAGAAATAGCTGTAAGGACAAGGTTACAGTTTGAGTTAGAGAACATTGTAGTTCTCTGGAGGACAAAGTCTGTGTGTATGTGATCCAGCTGTTTCCATGGTCCCCCTGAAAAATGGTTTCAGTGCTCTGCAGTTGTCAAAGATAAAGTAGTTTAGTCTCCCCGTGATGGATAAGGCTTTTTAAGGTGGTAAAAGTACAGGTAATCAAATAACTTGGATATTCATAAAGAGAACCTAGTCAAAGATTCATTTGGCTGAAAACTGTAAAAACTAAGTGTCAGCTGCCATGTAGGATTGTCCTTGAGGTTCTTTTCCTTCTAAACAGTGAATGTCTTGGCATGTGTGAATAAAGTCTTTTAAACATCCCTAACTATTAGGCTCATATTGACTTGCTCCCTTTTCATCTAGCTCAGGATAAAACAGCTGTAAGACTTTGACATGGAAAATACATGTTCTGTAGCTACTGTCTGATAGTTGAGTAGGTTGGTATTGCCTTTCATTTGGGGAATGCTGGAAAGGAAGAATTTGTTGGAAGACCTTATCTTTAAGTCTTTAATTTGTCCATTTCCCCTTCAGGGACAGCTGAAATATAACTACTGTTACCTTAATGTGCTCCTGTGCTTCACGTGAAGCTGGAATCTGGTTAAAGTAAACGATGGATACTGGCTTTTTAAATGTGAATTCTATAGAACTGGCAGGTTGCAGACTTCAAATGGTTTGAATTTCACTAATTAACAGCAGATCCAATGGAGATTGAAACTTGAGGTTCTGCTGTTTACTTAAAGTAGCTTCTTTAAAATGAGGTTATAAATGCATCTACAAATGCATTTACAAATTAAAAATGAAATGGTTTGTCTCATATGCAGATGCTGATAAAAAATAAGATTAAAAATCCCCTTGCTGTCCTATCCTTTCATCTGTTCTCTTATTTCCTACCTGTGAAACAATAACACCGAGGGAATATTACCACAGCGCAGTGTTTGTCTCTGTGGGGCTCAAGGATATAACGTTGTCACTAGCACCGTGTGCTGCTGCACAGAAAAAAAAAAAAGAAAAAGCTTTGTAGCCCAAGGATGTTTGTTTAAAAATTGACTTTGTATCTGGAAAGGAAGTGTATGTACAATGCTATCTTCTTTGGCTATACACAAAGAACAATGTTCACATAAAGTGTGTTGCTGTTTTTTAAAGCTATCTTCCTCTCCATCCTGAGGTGGTGGTGGGGGAGTGAATAATGGCCCTTGGGCTGATGGAGCTATGAGCCACTTATTTATAGCTCCTTTATAGGAGGCTGGATTGCAAGCTCTGTGCTTTGTCTGAGAAATCTAGACCATTAAGAATGCCTTCGTAGTAATATTTTTTAGGTAAGTTAGTTGTCTTGCTGTGCAGATGCTACTGATGAGGCTTAATTGAAGGCCTTTACACACAAACCTTGTTTTAAGCATGGCTATTATGTTGTTTCCCACCAATAAGATGAGATTTAAAAAGTAGTCTGCTGAAGATATTTCAATGATAGGAAAGGTTTTCTTTTTCACTGGGTTTTCTACTTTAAAGAAAAAAATCACTGCATTGATTATAAGAAAAAGTAAAATACTAATAAAGCCTGACTGGAATGGTGTTCATGGTGGTGAACTTCAAGACCTTGTATATTTAATTTAGATAAAGCTATTCTTGTCTCTTAGTTGAAGATGAAGTGTTTTGCCTTCTAGCCTTAAGATTGAAAATGGAAACCCAACTGCCAGATTGTAATTTCCTCTCTATTGAAATGAGAATTGGATCAAAGCTTTTTCATTAAGGATGAATTATCACTTTTAATTTTCCAGTTTATTCACATGGGCTAATGTTGTAACTCTTGAAACAGTTTGATACTTAGCACTGTATCAGAAAACATTACAAATAATTAGGTGTCAGAGGCTTATTTATAAAGATCAGCTGTTCAGGAATTTCTTCAAGTTACATTGGAAAACCCCATCTTTTTAAAGGCATTGTTAAGTGCACATATAGGAAAATTAAAAACTGCATGTGGTTTCCTTGAAGTGAATGCTGACTCTTTCCACAGTTAAAACTTTTTTTTTTCTGATTGATTTCAGTACTCATCTGAGAAGCTGAACAAAAGTGGCAGCTTGTTCCCTTTCGAAATCAATGGTAAGTTCTTCAGAAACCTTAGCTGTGTTTTACTGAGGTAATTGGTATAGCAAGCAGCCTTTCTTTTGTAAATAAGGTGAGGGGGATGGAGCATGCTGCTGTAGAGCCTGCTGGTTTAAGCTGGTCTTTGAACAATACTGGGAATAGCTGGTTGTTAGTTTTGTACTTGTGATCTGCTTTGCATAGTAAAAAGCCCTTGTAATACTTTTTTTTGTTCAATATCTGCCTTGGTGTACAGAAGCACACTAATGCTGTTTTTCATGCTAAACATCAGATTCCTCAGCTAGTAGAAATCTTTGTACACTTTTAGATTCTTTGCCACATAGACCATCCAGCATGGTGCAAACCATAAGTTGAAGTCCAGTGCCCTCATAGAATCATGGGAAGTGTTATTTGCTTTTATTCCCCCTTAGTCCTATTAGAATAAGTTTTACCTAGCAAAAACACTAGTTCCAGTTATTGATATATAAACTTTGTACTGCCTTATTAAGGGGTAGACCTGAAATTTTGCATGTTATGTTTTCTGTGAGCATGGAGGACTTTTATTTGCTCAGTGGGATTCCTCATAAAATGTGAATCTTGGTTTGTAAGAGATTTCAAAGGCAAGTGGTGCTTTGTCTTAAATAGCATTACCAACTAGGCAGGTATCCTGGTGGGGGTCTGTTATAGACCACCCAACCAGGATGAGGAGAGGTAGACAAAATATTCTGTAAGCAGCTGAGAGAAACCTCACAATTGCTAGTCTTTGTCATGAGGGACTTCAACTTAGCAGATGTCTGCTGGAAATACAATACAGCAGAGAGGAAGCAGACCAGGAGGTTCCTGGATTGTGTAGAAGAAAACTCTCTGTAGCTGATGAGTGAGCTGGTTTTCAACAGGGAAGGACTGGTGGAGATGTGGTGGTGAGAGGCTGCCTTGGGTACAGTGACTGGGGTGTTTGTTCCTTGGAGAAAGAAAGAGGCAGGGATTAGGAGGACTGCCACCTTGAACTTCTGGAGGGCAGGCTTCAGCCTGTGTAGGAGGCTGGATGGCAGAATCCCTTGGGAGGCAGTCCTGAATGACAAAGGAGTCCAGGAAGGCTGGATGTGCTTTAAGAAGGAAATGTTCAAGGTGCAGGAGCAGGTTATCCCGTGTGCTGGAAGATGAGCCCCTGGGGAAGAAGATTGGTCTGATTGAACAGAGCTTTGGCTGGAGCTCAAGGCTAAAAGAAAAAAGCCAGGAGAGTTGACCTTTGGAGGGAGGGGAAGGCGACTTAGGAGGACTAGGAGGATGTTGTCAGGTTATGCAGGGAGAAAATTAGAAGGGCCAGAGTCCAGCAAGAGCCTAATCTTGCTACTGCCATAAAACACAAAAAATGCTTCTATAAATGCTTCAGCAACAAAAGGAGGGCTAAGGAGAATCTCCATCCTTTACTGGATGCAAGGAGGAATACAGGGACAAAGGATGATGAAAAGCTGAGCTGCATAATGCCTTCTTTGCCTCAGTCTTTAACAGTAAGACCAGTTGTTCTCTGGGTACTCAGCCCCCTGAGGTGGAAGACAGGGATGGGGAGCAGACTGAAGCCCCCATAATCCAAGGGGGAATGGTCAGAGATCTGCTACATCACTTAGACCGACAGAGGTCTGTGGGGCTGGATGGGATCCACCCAAGAGGACTGAGGGAGTTCATGGCTGGGCTCACTGAGCCACTCTCCATCACTTACCAGCAGCCCTGGCTCCCTGGCCAGGTCCCAGGGGACTGGAGGTCACCAAATGTGACACCCAGCTACCAGAAGGGCCTGAGGGAGGGTCTGCAAACTACAGACCTGTCAGTCTGGACTTTGTGAAAGGCAGGTCCTGCATGACCAACCTGATCTTCTCTAACAAGGTGACCTTCTTGTGCATGAGGGAAAGGCTTCTCTCAAATAATAGGTGATAGGACAAGAGGAAACAACCTCAAATTGCACCGGGGGGCCTAGATTGGATGTTAGGAAACATTTCTTCACTGGAAGGCTTGTCAAGTATTGAAACTGGCTGCTCAGGGCAGTGGTGGAGTCACCATCCTTGCAGGAATTTAAAAGACATGTAAATGTGGCACCTGGGACATGGTTTAGTGGTGGACTTGGTGGAGTTAAGTTAATGGTTGGACTCTGATCTTAGAACTGTTTTCTAGACTAAATAATTAAGTGCTCCTTCCGTGGAAATAATTAAAACACAGGTTCAACTCTTGAATTTTTTTTTTTATGTTAAACTTTTAAATAAGCCTCCTAGCCTGGAAGAAAGCTTCCTAAGGATTTAAAAAAAATCAGGTGAGTCCCAGCTAGAAAATTGTCCTACAGTAGATGCTGGGAGTTTCAAACATTAGCTGGATCCCATTGTGTTGGCTCTTTTACTTGCATTGAATTATGGATGGTCCCTGCCTCGAAGAGCTTGCATGCTTAAGGCAAAGCACAGTATGTGGTTGTACCCATCTGAAAGAATGGAGGAGGAAGGACAGAGGAATTCTAATAAAACATGTTTGAATAGGCCAGCTGTCTGCACAGTTAAATGATTTTGAGACAATAGGGTGTTCTTTAAATAAGATCCAAATAAACAGGATAATCCATGACATACTTTGGGCATGGAACATGTACAACTATTTGGGTTTGCAACTTTTAAAGCTACTCAGCAAATCTTTTAGCTGTTGATTCCTCTAAAACTTAGTTTAGAAAGTCAACCATAAGAATATATTAGTATTCAGTGTTTAGGCTCTATCTAGGTTCCTAAAATAGGTGTATGGGAAAAAAATGGGTATTTTAAATGTTCTTTCTTTAAAGCCAGAATAAGTGAAACTTATTTGGCTAATTGGTTTAAATTAGCAAATTTTCTAACCAAGCATGAAGCACTGTTAGCTGGCCAACAGTTTTGCTGCTTTTCAATTTGCAAATCTAAAGTCTGCTGTAGTTCTTCTTACACTTCATTGTATAATGTGGAGGAACAGCTGTAAAATGTGCAGAATGTTCTCAAAGAAACGCTTCACAAAAGAGTGAGAGGCTGCACTGGCAGACTGCTTTTAACCCAGCATTGCCACTTCAGATGAGGAGTTGTGCACTATGTCTGCATTCACAGTAAAACTTGCAGGAGGTTCTTAAGGGATACTTTATTTTATGCATTAAATTAAGATTTGGGTTTTTTCTTGTATTCAGAGTGTAAGGAAGGAAAGCAACAGTCTTCAGTCTGATTTAACTTTTTACTGTTTCTAATTTAAAGTAAAGCTTTTTATACCAGAGAATGTGAACACCCTTTGCAAGTTTTCTTTAATAAGGTATTCTTAATAGAAAAGCATGCAAAATAACATAAATGAAGAACAGCGGTCTGAAGAGATTATTCTGCTTTTGCACTAAAAAAAATTCCCTGATGCCTTCTCACATTGTTAATTTGTTTTGTTTGTACCTGAGGTTGTTCACTGTTACATGATTTAATTGTGATATGTGCTGTGCACTCGGAAACTTCCTGCTGCTCGCTGAAAGACACATACTGCAATTCTTCAGTATAAAGGGAAAAGTATTAACGGAGTACCTCTGTATTGAAATGCCTGGACTGGTTCCTGAAATGCTTTAGTCTTGGTGTTTAAGTTTCTACTTTTTTTTGTGTGAAATTTTGAGTAAGAGCTGGCTCATCCTTCTAAAGATGATTTTGATGGCTTTACATTAACCTAGGTTTAAAACAAACTGTTCTCTCGCTTTTCATCTTTAACCCGTATCTTTTTTTGCTTTCAGAAGACAGTCCTTGGAAAGCTTTAAATGGGGGTTACCCAATCCAGCCTGACACAACCAGGAATTCAGCCTACCCTTTCCCGGTGTGCGCGTTCAGCACCAGCGCTGCCAGCAATGGCAGCCTGCCGTGGCAGCACGAATCCTCCAGCACGTCCATGGTGTCGGGATGGATAAGCGAGTTAAACCTCAACGAGAACTCGGGCCAGCCGCTGGCACCGCCCACCAAGCGCCACTGCCGCTCCCTGTCGGAGCCGGACGAGCTGGCTCGCTGCCGCTCGCCCTGGAAGCCCGGCAGCTCCAAGGTTTGGACTCCCGTGTCAAAGAGACGCTGTAACAGCGGCGGCAGCGCGACCTTGCAGCGCTGCAACAGCCATGGAAGTGCCACCTTGCAGAGAAGCACAAGCATCAGCCTGCCACAAAACATCCTGTCCCTAAACAACGTCTTCACCATCACCAGCTTCAACACCTCTCCGGTACCCAGACCTTCCTCTGCCAGCAGCGGGTTTGTGGACAGCAGCGAGGGCAGCACGAGCTCCAGCACCCGCTGGAATTCCGGAGGCCCTTGTGACTTTAACCCAAGGCGCCGCCTCTCCCTGTCCCAGGAGCACATCACCGAGACGGGAAATCTCTTGCCTTCAGCCAACAGCACTCCCACCTCCACACCCGAGCTCAGCCGGCGGCAGGGCCTGCTCAGGTGCCGCTCGCAGCCCTGCGTGCTGAACGAAAAGAAAAGCCGGCTGAAGCGCAGACGGGAGGAGGACGTACGATGGAACAGGCCATCGTTAGACTTTTTTAAAATGACACGGGTGAGATTTTGTTTTCCTCAGTGTGGGAAGGGAGCTCTTGCAGAAGGGCTGTTTCTAGATCAGTGGCACTAACCTGTAGTTGTTGCAGATTTGCTTGTGCCCCGTTTCACCTTTGGCAGGAGGGCAGGTTCCTTGCACTATACCTTAAAACAACTTAGATTTTGCCTGTGAAACCCAGATCTTGAAGCCCATACTACTTGATAGAGAGTGCTTAAAGCAGAGGCCACAGAAAAATGGCTTGCTTTTTGAAAAGCAAGGAAGCCATGGGGAATAGACACAGTAGCAAAGAATTTATACCACTGTGTTCCCAAATGCAATGATTTGAGTAATCTTAGTGTAAATCTGTTTGATTAAGCTTTCCCTTAGTTTGAGTAATTCCATAAAGCTAAATAAGAGCAAGCAAACTCCTGTATAAATGGATTAACTAAAGCAGCTGCTAACAAGCAGTTGGAAAGAGATAGTATTGTAATATGGCAACTACAGATGCTCTAGCCCAATGGTGAGGTGTTTTATTCCAGAATGTTACTTAAAATTCTACTTCTCTCCTCATGAGAGTAGAGTTGCTGATTCAAGAACTAGAAAAGTTCAGTTCATGCCTATACTTTACATGCAATACAAATGCATATAACACAGCTCATTTTTTTGGAGCTTCTTTGTTCAGAGTTCAGAGCTACAGTTCAAAATGTAAAACTGAATCTAACATTATGGTCAGAGAACACTTTGTGCTTGTGAATATAACTCTACTGCCTTCAGTAGACACCAGACTTGGAAGGCTTGTGTGATAGATGTGTTATGACTAGTGATGAGGAGGCAGTTTGCAAAAGTAGCAGTAAAATTGTAAGCAAGGGACATAGTTGTGCACCAGTGTCCCTGTATGTGATGTACTGTACAAAAGAAAAGCTGGATAGGACAGTGTTGGGTAAAACATGCAGTTTGTGGTACCTCAGTACAGGCTTTACGTCAAAATACATGGGAAAAATACCAGTAAGATAGATATTGGAATGCTAGCTAATTTATATCCACTTGGCTAAAAGTCTGCATGATTACAACTGTCCTTCCCTTGTACTTTTGTGAAACAACTTTTTTATATCTTAAAGGATTTTCCTCTTGAAAAATACAACATTTTTGGTGAAGCTGTGGGGGTAGAACAATCTGTTTAGTTACTGACAAGGTTGGTAACCAGTTCTGCTCTAGGTATGGCTAGACAGTGTTCTGAGTTTTGGCTAAGATGTAAGTTTACTAGTTAGCTAATCAGATCTTACCTGTTTCTCTGTGTTAATCACTACTGGGATTAGTTTGCTAATCTAGACCAGAAGTATTATTGGATTTGCCTTTCAACTGCCTGTGTGGTCTAATGCAGGTTTCTTTATGTAAAATTTAAAACCTGCTTTTTTTTTTTGGCTACACTCAATGCTTGCATTCTTCAAGCTCTGGAGGTGAGGTGCAATATTTCAGGCTACTGAATAACTTCAGTTGCTCAGATCTTACTTTTAAATAATCCATACAGCAGAGTGTATGGAGGAAACCTGTTATATCCCATGTCTATAGGAAGTTTTTTTGGCTGTTTAGATTTGCTGCAGAATTTTATATGACACTAATATTTAGCCAGTCTTGACTAGTTGTTCCTGTAAGACTCTTTTGGAGGGATGATTTCAAGATGAGTAGTTTATTCTGCAGTGTCAAGGCCTGATGTTTTCTTTCCAGCTATTTCAGTAGAATCTTCCTATTAAGATACTACTGTGTATTTAATCAAAGGCACAAATTATAGCTTGGAAATACTTCTATTTCTAAACATGCTAAACTTTAACGAAAACATCTGTTTAAAAACTCGGCAAGTACTGGAAACATTTGAGGTAAAAATTGAATTAAGTTTCCAAGAAAGATCAAGGTTTTTTAGAATGTCAGCTTGCTTACCCTTTTTTTTTTTTTGTTAGAAGTCTTCATATCTTATCTTTTCTGCATAGCCCAAATCCTGGTAGATGTATATGGTTTGGAACTTAAGCAAAATTACTGTTGTACAAAATATCATGAGCTAATACTACAGGAGGCTTATTTTGAAGTGTCCTATATCTATGTAGAGCTCAGTGAAGATGAGGGCTACCATTAGGGAAAGTTCAGTAAGACCTTCCTTTCATGTATCTTGATGGCTCCTCATTGTTTCCAAAAATACTTTTTCTGTGATTTCAAATTCACTTCCAAGTCAGTTTATGCAATACCTCTGTTGAAAAGAAGTGCTTTTAAGGATTTTTGTTTTAAGCTTTACTGCAAGTATTTTGATGTTCTCAAATCTTCCTAAAAAGCTCGACTTACCAAGTGGTTGCTCAAAAGCAGGTCAGCAGTTAGATAATAGTGCTTGTGGAGAAATCAACATGGGTCAAATGGAGGCACAACTGCTTGAAGATGAAAATTTTGGGGCTGCAGACATTTCTGCAATGCTCTTGTGTTCTGAGAGGTTGACACAAACACCTGCTAAAGTTGAAGGCTTCTCAGCAAGGAATTCTCTCAAATCCGTATTTATCAGCACTAAATGGTGCGTTTACTTTAGCTTGAAGCAAGGGCTGTTAGATCTGAATGAAAATCTTGAATAGCTGTGGTTTGGTGAAGCTTTAGAGGCAGATGGGGATGAAAAGTGGTTTTGGTTTGATGTGTTTTATCTTTTTGTTTTTGTTTTGGTGTTGGTTGTTTTTGGCTTTTTTTCATTACTGAACTGGTTTTTTTTTTTTTTTTTGCTAGTTGAATTCTGAAAACATACTTGTTGGTTGCTGCTTCAGTCCCTAATAATTTGATAAATATTAGTGCTAGAAAATCAAAAGTCTAATTCTGAAAGAAAGTTTTCCTTTGTCATTGCTTTTTAAGTTCAGAATTCATTGATGAGAAAATTCAGGTTATTAATTTATCCATGCCTGTTCTTAATTTGTCCTTGTTCATGGATAGTGGCTTGCTCCTTCCACTGTTGCATCTTTAATATTCTGATTTTTGCCTTTATTTAGAGAGGTAAAGAAATTGGGCTGCTCTGAATACCATAAACTGTTTATTTCTATGTACTTCGACTTTATTTTATTCTTCCACAGACCTTCACACTTCACTGCACTCCCCCTCTGGTTTAGGTTTTCATGGCCTCTTGGGAAGGAATATGCCATATCTTCAATTCTCATGGAAAATGCTATATTAGTATCCAGTAAAGCGAGTGATTCATGTATATAGAAAGAGATTCAAGTGTTCAGGCAGATTGCTGTACACCTCTGCTTAGCTCTCACAGTGCTAAATTCTGGAAGGATCTTCTTCTGGACTAGAAGCTGAAAATACAAACTTGTGAAACATCAGACCTTTAGGACATGAAGACAGCTGTAAAAACAAGTGGAAGAGACTAGAAAAAGATAACAGAATACGAGAGCTGTTTTCAGCCCCTGACGGCTCAAAATTACTTTCTCCATTCAGTTTTGTGCACGAGAAGAGCTGTAGGAGTTGCAGCACAGCAGAACACGGTGTCTGTGCCTGCTGAGCATTTGTTCACAGCCACCCCAATGAGAAGCTGGCTGCAGTGGCAGTGTTAGCCCTTCCTCCATGGCAGCACACATCCCATCACCCTGGCGTTTGGAGATGCCTGCGTGTGGCCAAGAGCCTCTCCAGGCTTGTGCTCTCCTGCAGCAAATGCACTCTGTCTCAGAGGCTGCCACAGAATGAGTCAAGGTGGTGTTTAGACTGCTAACTGCAGTATGGGGAGAGAAATGTTTCTTTACTGAAGTGGAAAGTGCTGAGTTTTTTCCAGTGTTCTGCTTCATGAGTTATGTCAGTTGATCCTGAGGTGCAACAAGGGAAGAGCAGCCAAGAGGTTGCACATGTTTTTTGGTGTGTAAGCAAGTTTTACTGTGACAGTGAGATTTAATTCTCTTTTAGATCAAACAACACACTGAAGTTTGAAGTCTTTCTGCTGTTCAACATGCTTGTGTTACTCCTCCCCCAGTGTGGTGGCATGGAGTTCCAGAATGTAATAATCCTGGTATCATACTTAAAAATCCCAAACTATTTGTGTTTTCTGTGAAGTGGTGCTTGGTCTGTTTAAATGGTTAATACCCAATACCTGACTTTATCCACATAAGTAATAGTTTCAGCTATTGAATCCTGGGGCATCTCATGCATTAATTAACACTAGACTGGTAAGACAACACAATGAAGAGTTTTAAGGGTCTCTAGACAGTCAAATAACTCGGGCTCAAGTTGTAATTTCCTAGTACAGAGTGCTACTTTTCTTAGAAATATTTTAAAGTCATCTGGATTTTATACTACTGTATTTTCTTGGTACTGAGAGAGATCCTAAGTGCCACACCAGGTCAGGCCAAAGCTGCAGCTGGCACCCTGCCCAGCCAGAACAGCTGCTCTGAGGGATGCAGGAACAATGAATGTGCAATGTGATACTTCCTCCAGCGTGGCCTGCCTCCTGCCAGTGTGCATCTCAGGGCCTTCAGAGTGTGCATCAGTGGTTCAAGCTCTGACAACTACTGGTAGAGTTATTTTCTGTTAATCAGCTTTTTAAACCCCATATCTTGGCTCTCCACAGTGTTACACAACAGGTTAATTTTTGTGAACAGTTCATCCCCTGCAACACCTGAACGCTCGATTTAGTCTTTCTTGAAGTTTCAGCAGGCAAAACCTTTGGATAACTTTGATCCTTAAAGTGAATTGAGCTAAAATTGCTTTGACTATTGCCTTTATGCTGCAGATAGCAGTGATGTAATGGCTCTATATAGTAACGAGGGCTTCTCACAGGGTGAGTGTGAACAAATGAGTCAAGTATGTCGACTTGGATCAAAACAGCAAAATCACTATCACTTACACATGAGAATAAGCAGCAAGACTAGTTAGTAGTGATTTCCACAGCAGTTTAAAAACATGTACAAAGCAGAGGTGAATGTTGGGGGTGGATCTATGTCCCTGAAGGGTGGGAGGAGGAGGCAGTACTTAAAGGGCAGAGCACATCAGCAGTGTTGCAACTGTACTTGGGTCAGGTGGCTGCTGCTTTTATTACAGAGACTTTCCTGGTAACTCCTGGTCTCTCTTGTGCAATGTCTGCATCCACATACTCGTTTCACTTTGTGTGGGCCAGTTTGTAGAAGCCAGTGTGAATAGATACAAGGGTGAACTGTAATGCTAATTATTTAATTTAAGTATATAGGCCAGGGTAACAATGTATGGTTGCAGTGTGAGAACTACCAGACAGTGGCTGATTTTTGCCCTTTGAAGTTACTGTAATGGTTAGTATGGGGACAGGCTTATGAATTAGCCATACTGTGACCTCACTAAGTTTAAGCAAAGTAAATGTAGAAGCATTCTTCTTGATTCTTTGAATTCTTGTTGTGATTAGTGTAGTGAAGGAGCTGCTCCCTTTTATTAAGCCCTCTCCCAGGTTGCTGTTTTAGCATGTGCAAGATAAAGAAGTGATATCACAAGTCCCTCACTAAGCTCCCAGGGTGCCTGCCCTGTGAGTCAGGGCTGCACTGGCTAAAGTAGGTTAAGTGCTGGCTCATGAAGTTCATTCAGATTGTGTTCTGGAAATAGTAAACATGTTGCTTTAAATAGCTTGAGATGCTTATGTAAAGCTTGTCTCTCGTAGCCTCCTGTCTAAATGGGAACAAACAGGTTATTTGGGGTAGATGTAATTTCTGCTTGTGGAGGCAGCAAAGGCTGTTGTGTGCCCTGCACACAGTGCAGTGTGATTTGGAGAAGGTCTTTAATAGCACTGCGGCACGTAATCACTGAAGCTCTTGTGATTCACTTGCAAGATGTACTGCAGCACCTCTCAGTCTGAATGTAGGTCTGGTTTTTCTACCTGTGTAAGACATGGTGCAATTCAGGGGTGCATTGGTGGTGCAACAGTGCTCAGATAAAATAGGTGGTAGATGTCCTTGCACTATATGTGAGTATCTTGTGCTGCAGGGCGCCCTCAATGCCCTTGGGTTTTGGAATATGGTTTGTGGAAAACACAATGCAGATGAGTAATATGTATGGCAGGATTAGACTGGGGCTGATTGGGATCAATAAAAATGGTAACAAATACAGATCTGTAACACTAGTAGTTTCCCTTTGTATAAGACCAAGACCAAAAAGGACAGCTATGAATGAAGCAATTGAGCCAGGCAGAGAATTTTAGTTATTTAAAATTCAATTCAACAGTTGAGTCTTTAACTTAACATTTGAAAAACAGAACTAATCCTGGCCTACCTTTACTTTGAAAAACACTTTGGGGACTTGTTGGGCTTTTATTTTTTTCTTCCTGTGGTGATAATTTCTGTAAGTAACCATAAACCAAGAAAGCAAAAGATAACATGACTTGTATTTTGAATATCAACACTGTATCAAAATTGCCCAGCTAAGTAAAACAGTGGTTTAAATCCATTTTATGTAATAAACCTAATTTATAGGTGGAAATAAATTGTGAGCAATGGACCTCAAGGAAAATTTTTCTAGTCTTTGCCTGTGTAGTGTCCCCTGTGTGCAAGAGGCTAAAGACTTCAATATTTCAGTGTGGTTTTTCTTTAAGAGTGATCTTGCCTTGGAGGACAAATGTCTGACTGAAAATGAGTATAGTAAGATACTTGCAGGTTTTCTAAGCTTCAGCAGAGTTAAGATAAACTCCTGCTATGCCTGCAGGATTTTGGACAATGCAGTGCAAGTTGGCCTCAATCTGCCAGACGTTGGTCAAGCTATATTTGTTCGATGTAAATCAATTAAAAGGCCAAAGAATTGCTAAGATCAGGAAGAAATTCTCTTTGGAGAGGAGCAGTTATGTGGAAGATGGGAGCAGTTTCTTGAGATGCTTCTTCCTGTGGTGCTTGCTTCTTGAGCAAACTTCAGTGATGGCTAGTGGCAGTCCCAGCTCCAGTGTCACTGCTGGAAGAGCACAGGTATTCCTGAGCTCTGATAACAGATGTCTAATAAATGTCCAAGTATTTTGGCTTAGACTGTATGTTGAATTTGCCTCTCTGAAGTTAAGCAATATGCATCTGCTGTGTAGTGTGATTAAACCTCCCATATTCTCAAATTTAATAAATAGTGTACAGCAG